AAAAAAAAAAAAAAAAAAAAAAAAAAAAACAGTAGGAGTGGCCCCTACGGGACAGCATGTTGAGGCACCACACCCTCCGTGTCGGTGTTGTAAGGACACAACCCTGGCAATGTGAGGCCCCAGGTGACATTGGGTGGGACAGAACATTTCCTCTGTGTGCCCTGGAGCTGGGTGCTCTGAGCCCTGAGATGACTAATTTCCTCATGCACCAGGGGGAAAGGAAAGCTGAGGAAAAATAAAATATATCCCAGAAGGACACTCTGCAATGCACAGTCAACTGCCTGACCACGTTCTGCTCAGCAGAGGGTGTTCTCAGAGCAGCACCCATGTTTTCATGTCTTTATGTCTCACCCAGGTGCCTGTCACATGGTGGAGCACCCCAGGGTAATTCCTTACCCTGCTGCTTTCCCCCTCAGAGTGTCACAGAGAAAGTCACATCAGCTCTTGGAGGCCTGCCTCTTTGCTGGGTATTATTTGTCTCTAAACAAGTATCTAGTGAGATGCAGCCTTTAGACTGTATATTCTCGGGTACTGCCGTGCCTTCGTGTGCCGTCCTAGATCTGTGGGGTGGACAAGGTTCACATGGACCCAGGATCCCAGCTACCTAGTGGATTTGTCAGATGTGCTCTCCAGGTCTCTGGCATGGGAGTCTGGGGATCCAGAGACATTCTGTCCTGGTGCCCGTGGCCATATGCTAGGAGAGCAAGCTCAGGGCCAAGGCCGTGTGTCACCATCTGTGGCACCTGCGCACGATCGCTTCGGGCACAGCTGAGATGAGAGCTGTGCTGCCGGTCAGAGTGGCCGTTCCTGTCTTCCTCACTTCTCTCGTCAGGGAGCCGGGCATTGTGATGCCAGGAGGCTGTTTCCTGGTCCTCAAACCCCATGCCTTCCTGTCTGTCTTAGTTGTGCCAGCTTCCTCACTCCCTCTAGATGTGGGAGTGCCAGGCCCCACCCAGTCTGCCCTTGTTTGTAGGGAGGCCTTGTTCCATCACAGCTTCTCTCTGCTCGGTGTGTTGGTGTGGTGTGGTAACTGTTTTCAGCCAAGAGGCACCGATCCCTGCCAAGCATGTGATACCACGTCAGGGACATCAGAAATGCCTATGGATTGCTTGGTTTGATCCTTCACTTTACAGTGTCCAGATCTTGCCACTGAGGGAAAACTGGCACTTGTGAAACAGTATGATTAGGTTTGCCTGATCATCAAGGCAAATTAGCTCCTCCCGAGTCTCTAGGACTGAGGGAGGGAAGAGTTCAGCTGTGGAGACAGAGCAGAAGGTCCAGTAGCCAGGCTGCAGGGTTGTTGAGGACGAGGATGAGCATGGGCAGGCGTGGTGCTGTGTGTATGGTCCGTGCTGCCTGTCACCCTCACACTGCGTGGGAGATACTGCTCTTGTCTCCCTGTCTGTGGCTGGAAAGGTCAAGACGTAGCCCACGGACACCACCTGGCCCACCCTGAAGCTGCCTGGCTCCCCTTCTCCCCTTCCTTGCTCGGCAGGGCTGGAGAGCCCTGGTTGTCGCCTTGGTCCTTTGGCTGATGGCTTCCTTTTCGTTTTAGGACTTCTGCCATGGGCAAGTGATGTGGCCTCCGCTGAGTGCCCTGCAGGTGAAGCTTGCTGAGCCTGGGCAGTCCTGCAAGCAGGTGTGCCAGGAGAGCCAGCTCATCTGCGAGCCGTCCTTCTTCCAGCACCTCAACAAGGCCAAGGACTTGCTGAAGTAAGTGCCTGTGGGCTGCTGGGCTAGAGCTGGGTGGAAAGGGCAGCCGGCTGCAGCACCAGGGAAACGAAGTCACCTGGCACGCTGATTTACTCAGAATAATACCACATCTGGGCTTGGGCTCCCACGAACAGGAGTGGAAGTGGGCACAGAAACACAGACCCCAGCGGACCTGCCCCGAAGACCCTTGGCAACGACCAAGTCCCCAGATGGTTCCCAGCAGAGCCTAAGCAGCACAGGGCACGAGTGTCATTTTCAGCCATGGACTCAGAAATGAAAAAGAAGCAGGGAGAAGGAGCTGGCACAAAACTGCCCCCGCCCCCGGAAAATTCCAAGTGCTGCCTCTTGCCCTTGCCGTCCCACTGACTTGTGTGCTTTCTTCAGGCACTTTCAGGATGCGGCACACCAGGGGCCTGTGCAGGCCAGACTCTGCCCGGGCCTCGGCAGTCAGGTGCAGGCCGAGCGCTGACCAGGGCTGCCCCTGGGAGGAGCCTCTGGTGTCCCTTGAATCATTGCTTTTTGAATTTTTTGCCTCATATCTGGAGTTTTAGTGATGCAATTTGTTTCCCTTGCGTTGACATTTTGAATTTGGCATATTCAGTTCCCCAATTTCCATGCAAGGTTTCTTCTGGCTTCTGGTCCCTGGACCCTAATTTGTCTTGATTTCCTCCCTGTCTTGGTTATCTAGTATTGCTTAGTTATCTATCCTCTCCCACCTACCTTAATAACACTGACAGGGGTTTTCTCCAAGAAACTTACTTATATATAACAAGACGCTGCTTTCTCAACTCTAAATATTTGGTACAAGGCTAGAAGAGGTTGTTTAAGGAATGGAGTGGACCCAAGGCTCAGTGCTTGCTTGTCCCTGCTGTGCCTTTGTGCCTATCCACTGTGGTCACCATGCATGGTGGTCTGAGCTGGCCTGGTCCCTCCTGTGAGTCATCTTATTCTCAAGCACAGCATAAATTCCATTTAGAGAGAGTGGGCTCCAGCATAGCTGGAGGTCTGGGAGGCTTGCTGTTTGTTCCATTCTTTCTCTGGGAAGACCAGACTCAGAGTCTGCCTCTATTCCACCATCCACACAAAGACACAGACCAGAAGAGGCAGGCTGGGGTGTACCCTGCTCTGAAGCCAGGGAGGCTGTGTGATCCGCTGGGTCTCTGACACAGATGGAAAGCTCTTGGTGGTGCCAGAAACTTCTGGCTCCACACTGTAGACCTGAATTCTGGAGTCCTGTGTGGGATTTTGCACTGACTCCTCTTGTAGACACCTCCCATAATGCGGTGGCTGTAGGGAACCCCAAGCACTCTGTTTATATAGGATGTTTGAAATCGCTAGGTCCGGACTATTCTCACAGTCTGTGTGCAGCCTCCTGGGATGGAACCTATACAGGACCCGTGAATAGTGGGGTTCCCTTCCGGTCCTGGAAAGAGTTAGGCTCTTAGCCTTGGCACTGCCAGAGGGTCTGGCTCAAAGCTAGCGTGCAGTCCATACCAGCAGCCCTGCACAGGCAGCCCACCTCCCGGGCAGGGGGCACCAGGGACAGGAAGGACTCCACGGCTGGGCAAGTGGCCAGGTCCGTCAGTTTTCTCACTGGAGATGGGATGTACGAGCTGAAGTGGAGGTGGGAGGTACAGCCCTTGAGGAAGAGCAGAGCAGCCTTCCTGGCAGCAGAGTAGGCTCAAGACCACCAGGCCGTGATTAGTAAAGCCAGTCCCCTGGCCAGGCCTCTTGTCGTCTCCTCCAGATCCCATGCCGAGTCCACAGAGCAGGGGTCCTGGGCTGTGGGTTCTGTGTCACAGTCTCGCTCACCCCACCACCCTACCCCACTGGAGAGATACGGGTTTTCTTACCAGGAGGCTGGAATGAATGGTAATTTTGCAATAAAGCCGTCAGAAATTAATTCTGTGAACATGAGAGCCCTACTGACTAACTTGTTCATGCATTTGTAAATACTGATAATGTTGTAATCTGGCAGACTATTGAGTGCCTCCTCAGTGTGGAGGTAACCCTGGCCCATCCATATTCATGGTCAATTAGCAATGAGAGGCTCCGACAAGCCAGGGCTGCTTGTTCTTCTCCAACTTGGGGCCTGGTTCTCATCCGAGCTTAAGCTTCTTTCAGTCCTTGGGCACCTATGACCTACCTGTACATACCACCTGTCCTTGCTGTGTGGTGTGAATTTAATGTATTGCATAAATCAAGCCCTTGACTCAGGAGGATCCGGTGGCCTTGAACTCCTGTGCTTGCAGAGGAGAATTAAGTCCTGAGCCAAGACTCCACCTAGAACAGGGCAGAGAGGACAAGGCAGACAGCCCCGGGCAGTGCAAGTGTCCACTGCTGCATGGCCCAGTGCAGAGGACTCAGCTCCACAAAAAGGAACATGTTTTAGTGTGTGAAGCCTGCTTTGTAACAGCTACCTCTTAAGGTTATGTTTTGTAAGATGTTGCGTTACAGGTGGTCCCCGGTTTATAATGGTGCAACTTGAGGTTTTTCAGCTTGACGTTGGTGTTGGTATGAAAGCCGTCAGAATTCCGTAGAAGTTGCATTTGGATCTTCTTCCAGGCTACAAATAGGTGGTGAGATTGCCCATGGTGCTGGGCAGTGGCAGCGAGCAGCAGCTCCCAGTCAGCTACCCTGTTCTCAGCTTTGAGGCGAAGCCTGGTTCCCACCTGGCTTCTACCCATCTTCACTGGGTGAAGCTGACTTGTTCTTGGGGAGCCAGGGTATGTAGGCGAGGCAGAAAGATCCATGGTTCTTTGAGATGAGATGCTAGGGAGTTGCCTCTGCCCCCAAGCACTGATCGCAGAGTGAGGAAGAAAGCCATTTGGTCCCTGCCCCAGACCGATGTGCTTTTGCAGAAAATGGCAGAGGAGCCAGGGTCCCTAGGAGGAGCAGGCCCTGGGTCACCTGTTCCACACCTTCTGAAGCCACCTCTGCTCCTGTCTCTCTATCCAGGGTCATTGTCACCCGTGGCTGCAAGGTCATGCAAGTCATGGCAAAGGTCTGGGGAATCAAGGCCCTGGGAGAGCTCAAGTGCTTTCCAGTGGGAGACAAAGGCCAAATAACAGAAACTGTTTAAGCCTTTAATTAAAAAGTTACATATACTTGTAAGATATCAAAATAATGCATAGCTTAGCCTCAGTGTTGCTCCTCGCAGACACCTATTGCTAACACTTCAGTGGCAACTGTCTTCACAGAAACACACACAAACACAAAGAGGCTGGTCACACTGTACATCCTGTTCTGAGACTTGCTTTTCCCTAGGACAGTTCTCATGCTGAGCATGCATTTCTTTCTCATTCTTTTTCATAGCTGCATAGAACTCCAAAACCACAGCCATCCCCCACTTGGGGAGTATGCAAGTCATGTCCATTCTGCTGCCATTTTGACAGTATTCCTTACTATCTCAGAGCCACACCCTGCCCAACTGCATGGGCACGGCCGACATTGCTAGAAGTGAAGAATCATGGGGTCAGAGGGTGACACCATTGCCATTTAATTTCTGAAGCAGTCCCGAATGCCCCGACCCACTTCAGCAAGTGGACCAGCAGGACTGGGAATCATGACAAGTTCTGTCCACTGCTTCACCAACCAATGTGCCTTTCTCTTCCTCTAAAGGTACGAGGTGATCTGCCAGAGTTCAGAGCGGGCCAAGGACATCCTGGTGCCCTCCGTGGACCCCAAGAGCAGGCACTGTGTGTTCCAAGGGGACCTCCTGCTCTTCAGCTGTGCAGGCGCCCACCCGAGGCACCAGAGGATCTGCCCCTGCCGGGACTACATCAAGGGCCAGGTGGCCCTCTGCAAAGACTGCCTATAGCAGCCCAGGCTCGGCCCTGCTCGTGCTGCGCTGGAGAACACAGCAGCTCTGCCGGGCAGGGCCAGGGGCGGAAGTCATTTTGGGACTCTGGCCAGAGCCCAGACTTCTTGGTTGAAGGTTTTGCTTGGTACTTCTCCCCCTGCTGCAGTCAGCGCATCTCAGGGGAGTTGTCACCAAAACCAAATGAGAGCAGATGTCAGGCCAGGAGCCTGGCTTCTCCCTGGTACAACAGGCTTCATTTCTACTTTTGTGCGGAGCAACTGCAGAGAGACTGTCGATGCAACTGCTCCAGGGTAAAAAAGAAAAACAAAAAAGGAAAGAAAGAGAGAGATAAAAATGTCTCAAGATTCATTTAAAACAAAACAAGAGAACGAAGTGAGCTAATTGGAGAGAACTTGGAATGGGAACATTCCCAAACCCATTAACTTATTTATTTGGGAGGGAGGGAGGGGTTTGTGAGGGAGGAAAGGGATCAGTCACATTTCTTCCTCCATTTCCCACTGTTAATTGTTCACTTTTGCAATATTCCATCTGCTTCAGGTGGGGCGCAGTGGGGCTGATGGCTTTCTGGAGGGCAGCTAGAGGACATGGCTCCTGATGGTGGCAAAGCAAAAGAAACTCTTGCTTTGAAAACACAGCCAAACTCTCCTGAATATTGTTGTAGAGCTGATGGGCACTGGGTGTGCTTGGCACATGGCAGCTAAAAGATAAATGACCCCTTGGAGGGTATATGGGCACCTCTGAGGGCCAGAGGGCCCAACCAGGGACAAAAGATGGAGCTGTTTTGCAGCCTAGAGAGACCCCTTTCCCTGTGTGTCCAGTCCCATCTACCCACCTAACTTAACCCTAATTTCTGGTTGGAATTTCTTTAGGCAAGAAATGCAAAGTTCTAGAATTTTTCTTTGCTAGTCAGTAGTAAATTTATCCTCTCACACATGCCACTGTAAGGAGGAAAGGAGGTGTGGGACTCATCTGCCTTCAGGCGTGGAGGGCTGATTCTGTAGTCCCCAGGGTGCTGAGATGTGGACAGGAAGTCAGTCTTCCAGCATCAGAGGCACAACTGATGTCTGGGCACCTGACAGATGGGTTTGTGTTAGGTCCGCTCTGGTGTCTGACATCACCCAAGTCCAGGCAGTGGCGGTCTTGGTGAAATGGACGTTTGCTGGGCAAGCAGGGGCAGCTCCTGGTGAATGCTGTGCTTTGTCCTGGCCACTCCCATGGGGCAGTGGTGCTGGCTTCTCCTCTGAGGGGAAAGAGCAGACAGCTGGGACTCAGCGGAGCCCTGCGCTCTGCCTCTGTGTAAGCTCTCGCCTCCACCAGACCATAGCTTCCGCCCTCTCTGCACGTTGGTGAGCTTCCCGTGAAGCCCCGGAGGCCTCCGTGCTGTGAGAGCAAGCCCTCTCCCACCTCGGGGTTGGAGCCATGGGCCCTGGCTGGTGCCACACCCGCATCTTTGGGTGGTTCCCAGCACTCTGCTCGCGGCGGGAGGATCGGGTGGACCTCTGCTGGCAGAAGAGCCGGGCAGAGTTAATGACTGAGTGAGCCTGCTTGAGGAGCAAGGGAAAGAATTCTGTTTTGTGGGCTCCAGCAAGAACATGGAGACTGTAAGGCTGGGAAGTTAGATCTGCCTGCTTCTTGGTTTCTACCTGGTGCATAAATACTGTAATAGCAAATGCATAGCCGTTACCTCTCCCTTCCAGCCCTCAGATCCTTGCTCTGCGAGTTTGAATTGTACTTCTGTCGTCCTAGAGAGTTGGGGGGGGG